TCCCTAGTAGCTGGGACTACAGGCGAGCATCACCATGCCCCGCTAACCTTACACTTCACTTTCAATTCTCAGTAAAACCATTTGGGATGTCTTTAATCCCCTGCAAAGCTGTGCTACTCAGTCATGTATCAGCCTCACACAATGAAAACAAATAGATTTAAATCCAAGACAATAAAGATTATAGACTGGCTGGGCATGCAGCATCTCATGACTGTAGTCCCAGTACTTTCAGAGGCCAAGGTAGGTGGATCGCTTGAGCCCAGGAGTTCAAGATCAGCCTGGGAAACACAGGGAAACCACATTTCTACAAAAACACAAAAATTAGCCAGGCATGGTGTCATGTGCCTGTAGTCCCAGCTACTCAGGAGGCTGAAATGGGAGTATCACTTGAGCCCAGGAGGTCAAAGCTGCAGTAAGCCGAGACTGCCATTGCCCTTCAGCCTGGGTGACAGAGTGATATTCTGTCTCAAAAAAAAAAAAAAAAGACCCTACAAACTGTGACATTCTAACAATCTTGCATCAATCACATGAATAGGTAAGAAACGGACAGAGAGACTATCAGGACATCTATAAATTCTGAAATAAAGCTTAGCATATGGCCTAATAACAAAGTTAATACTTACTCAAACAAGCAGCACTTTCTTTTGAATCAGCTCACTTACTCTACACCAGGATTTCTGAATCTCAGCACTGTTAATATCATGGACAAGAAAGGATGATGTCGTGGCTGTCCTGCGCATCGTAGGATGATAGGCACCATCCCCGGCTTCCACCCACCAGATGCCAGTGGAATCCCCAATCCCAGCTTCAACAATCAAAAAATGACTTTAGACCGTGCCATACCTGCCCTAGGGACAAAACTGTCCCTGGTTGAGAATCACTGCTCTAAAGAAAACCCAAGAATATGGACAAAATCCTAAATACGATTTTATTTGAAGTGATTTTATAAACAGACATAAAATTTAATCAGTTTTAATAACCAAGTCAGACCTTGTAAATGGAGTCATTGCTAGCAGTAACATGTGTTCATCCATTTTGAGGGAAGAAAAGATTCAAGGGACACTGTTTTAGCCACATAAATGCTACTGGCACATGACACATCATCATGTCTTCAATCAGGAATGCTTTCCAACTCAAAGGATAACCAGCCCCTTAAAATTCTCACACAGGTGTCACAACGGAGTCAGTGACTGTTCATGGTGAATTGCCTAAAAGTTATTTAATTTCTATCCTTGCATTGACGATCAGGAAAATATTAAATGAAAACAACCAATCTGGGTAGGAAGTAACCAGCAAAAAACAAAATTCAGGCAGACAGTTTACAATTTTGTGCATGGACAACTTATCAACAGATCTTAGTTCCTTTCTCATTCCTTTCTCTTCCTCTAAGGAAAGCTGTCCTTTCCCTGAGAATTCTCAGAACGCTGATAGTTTTACATACCTGTAGAATTGCTTCTTGGCCTTTTGGCCAAGATCAAGCATGCATACTCATGGAAATTTTTTTATTATAAAAAGATCAAATTGAGCACTGCACATTTAAAGGTTTGCAGATTTCATGTTATCTTTATATTTATATCAACCAAAAACAGACTTGAAGTTTTGAGGATTAGCAAGTTCACCTATATAGTACAACATGGACTCAGCACCAAGAAAATGATAGCTTTCAAGGATACCCAGTTCACTGAAAATGCAATATCCAATGTTGTGTTTATCAAAAATTAAATCTAATTTTTCCAAGGAAATATTTTACTCGAAAGTCTTAAAAGATCTTTTTTTGGCACACGAAAAAAAAAACTCATGTGTTTGAATTTCTAAAATCTGACTGAGATCAGTCTTTTTTTTCTCAGTGCTTGAGTTTTTGTTTTTGAGGAGACATTAGGAAGTAGTAATGGATATCAGAACAGCAAATATTCAATTTCTGATGGCAAGTATAATCTTGTTTCCTTCTGAATTAGCTTTAAAAAATACTTCTGCTGCTACTTATTTAACTGTACAAAGAATTGAAAATATTACATGGAATTTGTTTCTTGCTTTTTCTATTTAACATTTTCTCATGTCTTTAAATATTACTCCAACCATAATTTTCAATGGCCAGTACATATGAATTCCATGGTAATATAACTTAACTATTTTCTACTTTAGGGATTTTTAAACTGCTTTCAACTTTTTGCTTTTATTCTGGGATGAAATTTTTTGTGTAATTATGTTTGCATGTCAGGTCATTCAGGATAAATTCCAAAAGCTAATTTACTAGTTCAAATAGTAAGAACATCTGTATAGTTATACACATTAACAAATTGCTTTTCATAAAGTTTATGAATTTTATACTTCCATCACCATTTGAGAATACCAATTCACTGCATATTCAAAAACAGTGAACATTTTCTTTGTCAGTTTTAAATATTAAAATATCTCACTTCTTTAATTCACCTTTTTGTGAAACTGAACAATTTTTTAATGTTCACTAATTCTGTCTTTTCAAATTGTTTAGACTTCTATTCATCTTTTTCATTGTAGCATTTGTCTTTTTCATATTAAATTACTAAACTCAATATTAAAGCATATAAACCTTTGCTTGGCATCCAGAAAGTTTTCATTTTTATGTTGTCCATTCAATCTTACCCTTTCTGATTTTCCCATTACCTTATGCTTAGAAAATCTGTTCCCATTTCAACATAATTATTGACATACTTTTAGTTCTTTTGTTTCATTTTGACATCTATATTCCTAACACACCTGGAATTTATTTTTGCTGTGGTATGAGAATGATGATTTAGTATCCAATAGCATCAGAGCCCATTAATCATTATTTCCAAAATTTTCCTATTCTTCCAGATTAACTTTAAAAATCACTTTGTTAGGTTCCCCATCTACCCCTCCTAAAAAAATCTCATTTAGATTCTTACTGAAATTCTAGTAAACTATAAGTAAAAATCAAAGAATGTATAGAGGAATGTTGAATACTGGCGCCATCAGGCATCCTTATCTTGGACCTGACTGTCACAGAAATATTTCCAGTGTTTATTTACTTTGTAATACATTGGCTTGTTGTTTCAGATAGAAATTTGTTTTTTTCAGTGTAATTTTTAAAATCACCTGTTTTTATTACTAAATCTTTAACTGAATATGGAGTATTTTATCAAATGCCTTTGCAACATCTGTTTAGGATTATGAATATGTGCAATTATGCTTTATCCTATAGATCTCACGAATAAAGAAGTTTCTCAATAGTAAGCCATCCTTTAATTACCAGCATAAGTCCTAGTCATCACACTGTATTGTTTTGAAATGTTGATTTTTAGTTGCATGTGCTTTGGTTAACATTTTTATATGTATAGTCTGGGGCCTTTTTAAGGATAATTTTGTGAATAACTTTAAATTTCAATGGTTATTATTTCAATTAGTTTACTTAGATGCTCGATTTCCTTTTTTTTTTTTTTTAAGGAGATGTGGTCTTTTTTGTCACCAGCACTCAGGCTGGAGCGCAGTCACACAATCATAGCTCACTGCAGCCCCCAACTCCTGGGTTCAAAGGATCCTCCCACTTCAGCCTCCCAAGTAGCTGGAACTACAGGAGTGCACCACCACACCTAACTACAACTTCTTTTATTTCACCTATATTTTTCCTGAATGTCATTCATTTGGAGATTTCCAAATTTGAGCTCTAATTTTTCAAATCACACCTGTATTTACTGTTTACATGCCTTTTCCCCCTAAATTGTTGAGTTTAGATGTTTTTCTTTGGTTAGGTATCTTAAATATTTGTCTCTATATGTGTCTTCCCTGTGCCCAGCAATAATCAACTATTTGATTTGTCAAATACCTTTTTCCTTGGCCTAATTTATTTTTACTTACTTGCAGAGTAAATCTTAAGGTGTCTTGTGTTGTACTGTGCTATTCACTAAATTGTACAGTGTCTATCATCATTCACACACGTTTGGGGGCAGGTGGCTGTGAGGCACCATGTATCTCATTAATTAATCAGAAATGTCATTCTAATTTTACCATAATCTACTGGAATCTTTAGAACATATATTTTTTTAAATTGTTAATGTTTCAGCAAGCACTGTACTAACTAGATCTGGTCTTAGAAAATTGGAGACTAATTTGATTGTGTTTTTCCCAAAGACACTGCTTAGTGTTTTATATTATTCATTCTCAGCACTTCAAGAGCCAAACACTTCAAAATAAATTAAGTATGTTACAGGGAAGAGGCAAAATGGAACAAAGAAACAAATTTAATTTTGGAAACTATAATTTTACTACAATGTAAATATAAACAATTTAACTTTATGGAATTTGGGGGGAAATACACTTCAGAAGCCAGGCTTCTTTTTAGCAATGATAATCTGATTGTAGCAAAATTCAACACATATAACTCTATTCATGTGTTCTTGCAATATGCCAACTTTTTTTGTCCCTTAGATTCCCTGATACATTGTTGCCATAATTTAAATTGCTTTTTCCTGTGCAATTTTTCATTTTTCAAAAATGCTGACTAATTACCTCCATTGCTCCCTATGAAACTTTCACGGACATTCCTATAAAAGTACTGTCTTTTGAAATACATTTTCCCTATTATATATAAGTGGGGAAGAAAAGGCTTTTCTAAGAATGTTAAATACTTTTAATTTTGACTCCTGTGATACCCAAGTCCATAACGACTTTACGAATCAACAGTGGTTCTTATTCATAAATAGACGACATGCCATTTAATACAGGATGTCTCCTCAACTTAAACTTTTCCCTCAGAAATTTACATTTTCCTTCCAATAACCAAAAGAAGTATATGATCGACTTCTCTATACTCACTTGTGAGTCACTTACATTTTTCACAAAAAAAGGTTAATTTTACATACACACACACACACACACTTCTCAAGTAGGACTCCTAGAAGGATTTCTAGCAGGCTACTAAATTTCTATTGTTGACTATGTAGCCACCATGGCACAGGGAGTTTAAAAGTCAGATGGAGAGCTGGCAGCTAGAAGCATCTTACCTGCTTTCCATCCAGGGTGCAGAGCCTCTTGACGACTCCTGAGTCTAGTTTAATGGCTTCGGTGATATCTGTTAAGACTTGTTCAAAGGAATGAGCAGTCTTTTTATTCAGAAGGATCCGCACGGCTTTTCTAGGCTTCACTCCACTTCGAATCACAGTCACTAACTTGGGTTTGATGAAATCTTTACTCTCTTTTACTTCACTTTTCACAGAGGAAGCAGCAGCCAGGGCTCGGGATGTTCCACCCTTGATGTTCACAGACCAGTTCGGATTAATATTTTTGGTGTAATCGACTTTACGAAATGGTTCATTGGATGCACACACGTAGCTCTCACCTAAAAAGCAAAATTTGATTTTATTAGCATGAATATCTCTACCATAGAAGCATTTGGTCTAAAGAACAGATGCTGGAGACCCATTAAGTGAACCCTTAACCTTAGCAGGTTCACTAAAAGGGGATGTTCACCCTTTTCCTTTGGCATTCTCCCACCTCCCTCTCTTTTAAATAGCCTAGATTGGTTTTGACAGAATAACAAGGATTACAGGGCGAGAAGCACTGGACCAAATATGTTGACCAAATGTGTCACCTTGGATAATTCATTTCTCCACACTTTGGTCCTCAGTATCATCAGCAATAAACTGAAGTGGCTGAACCAGCTGAATTCTAAAGTACTTTCTGATTCCCAAAACCTCCTATTTATTAATTTGGTTTTAAAAAAATCTCATTCTGGTAGAAATAATTATATCAGAACATATTGATATAAGGAAATAAAAATATCTTGCTTCTAATTATAGATTTCAGTTCTAATCAAAGAATAATCACAACATTTTCACACAGCTGACTCAATTATACTCAGGTACAAGGTCACGTACTAAATTAATGAAGCACCATAAACATTAAGGAAGAGTTCCGGCAGCTCAAAGAAATAAACCTCAGCCACTTTTCTTCTTACAGAATGTAAATTTAAAATAACTGTTCTTTAAATATACAACACTTTTCTGTAACTACTTAAATAGAAGAGGACCTGAAGTAGTTAAAATGTGTTCATTAGTCATGAAACCTTCTGCTTAATTTTTATTAAGTACAACATAAGAGCTGTATTATTTGCCAAGTGGCTTATTAATTCAATGTTTACTGATATTTTACATTCCAAAATTTCCAAAACTTTTATGTTAAGATACCACAATTTTTCTTTTAGGAAAGTCAGAATCACCCAATGTTTTTACATTCTTGACTTTTTGACACACAAGATAACAGGGTTATACTAAAGTTTTTCTAAAAAGAATCCATTAATTTTTTCACATATGCAGTATAACACTCATCATTAATAATATTAATATGAACCTGAAATATTATAAATGCTTAAAACAGAAGTAACCAAAATAGTCAAAGGGAATTCCTGAGAAAAACCTATTAATATTCGTATTAAACTATTATCATAATGTTCTTGAAACCCTGATTAATGGAGAATTTTAGAGCCTCCGAAGGTACATGAATAATTCAGTAACAGATCAGGCACACAAGAAGATTTTATTTTTATTTTATTTATTTATTTATTTATTTTGAGACAGGGTCTCTGTTGCCCAGGCTGGACTGCAGTGGTGCAATCATGGCTCACTGCAGCCTCAACCTCCTGGACTCCAGTGATTCTCCCACCTCAGCGTTCCAAGTAGCTGGGATTACAAGTGCATGCCACTATGCCTGGCTAAATTTTTGTATTTTTAGTAGAGACAACGTTTTTGTTATGTTGCCCAGGCTGGTCTTGAACTCCTGTGTTCCAGCGAGTCGCCCACCCTGGCCTCCCAAAGTGTTGGGATTATAAGGCATGAGCCACAGTGCCTGGCCCCAAGAATGGCTTAAAAAGAGGAGCACTGTCTTCTATCTAAAGGTATAACTAGAGCACTGCCCAAGATAACTGGGGAACCAATCACAGGCTTTAACACTGTTTCTACACCAGTAAAGTGAAATCTAGCCCAACCACCACCATTTAGAGATTTTTTCATCTCTATAGGCTTATCTAAATCATTTTTCACAGTACGATCACCTGGGAAAATGTCATATAATTTCAAAAACAGTTATCAATTTAACAAAATTAACTATAACCACACATATGTATTAACGGGCAAAATAGAATTTTGCTTTAACCTCATAGAGAAAGCAACTCTCACATCAAAAAGCTCTTACTATTTTTACCTATCATAAAACTTTAAGTCTATATTCTGATTCAAAATATAAGATGGAAGAGAAAAAAGAATATTAGCAAAAGAAGGTAATTAAAAAAAAAAAAAAAAGGGCCGGGATAAGTAGTAAGTCAGCTAGGGGAAAGCCTATCCCTATATAAAGAGTAACAATGAAAAAAGAAACAAAAGAGCAAATTTCATATAGCAGATTTCCTTGGTCAACCTGTCTCTACACAATTGACATATCCACAAGGAGAGCTGCTTCTTAAATTTCTCTGTGTTTTGTTTCCTTATACAGGTTCCGAATGTCAGAATGAAGTAGGTAAAGGAAGCTCCTTAATTTGTTTTTGTGCAATTACAGATAAATTTTAATTCCTTCCCATTCTCCCTCCTTCCCTTTATAATGTTTCCATTAAAAATTTGTAGGCTTGGCATGGTACCTCATGCCTGTAATCTCAGCACTTTGGAAAGCCAAGGCAAGAGGACTGCTTGAGGCCAGGAGTTCAGGACAGGCCTGGGTAACATAGCAAGATCCTGTTTCTACTAAAAATACAAAAATTAGCAGGACATGGTGGCACACATCTGTAGTCCTAGCTACTTAGGAGGCTGAGACAGGAGGATCACTTGAGCTCAGGAGTTCAAGGCTACAGAGAGATATAATCTCACCACTGCACTCCAGCCTGGGCAACAGAGCAAGACCCTGTCCCTATAAAGCAAACAAACCAAACTTATAGACTAGTTCCACCATAAACGTGTATTAAAGTTTTGAGCCAGGCTGGCAAATGCCTACAAGGTTGGCAAATGCCTATAAGATAGGGCTCTCTACATCCATGGCAGACACAACTAACAGTTAAATAGCCTCACCCTCTTCCCTGTACCCATGGCCCTATGTCCTTTAAGCTTAAACAACTCCTCACAATGTGCACTGAGTGCCTACTGTGCACAAGTTCTCATGCTAGGTGCTGACATGGTATGAAACCCACGTTAGTAATCTTGGCATTCAACATTATAGCACATAGGTTCAGCACATGGTTTTAGGGTCAGACCTGTGTTTCTGTGTACTGGCCACACAAATCCCTGAAGTGTAGATGTCATATACCTTGACGACGACATCCATCAAGATACCCAAGCTAGCTTGTCTTGTAATGTCCCCATCCAAATCAAACAATCTGCAGATTGTAATTTTGTCTCTTATATAGATTTGCCTACAAAGAGAGAATATGCTGACAAAAGAACTTAGGATGTTGGTTCCCTGCGCAGTTAGTTACAACTCTTGATGTTAATCCATCAGGTTGAGTGCAATGGCCCATGCCTATGATCCCAGCACTTTGGGAGGTCGAAGAGGGAGGATCCCTTGTGGCCAGGAGTTCAAGCCCAGCCTGGGCAACACAGTGAGACCCGGTCTCTATTAAAAAGAAATCAATAATCATTCTTGGTTAGACACTATGCACCTCCAAGACTGATTAGAAGCGATTGGCCTCCCCCTACACAGATTCTTGCTACTGTACGGATTCTTGTTTAAGATTTGTGACTCCCTTGCCAACTTGTAGGTCTCCCCTTTCTTCCACTCTCACAAGGACATAGCTGAAAAAGTACATCCTGCATCCTAAAGTATTAAACCTTAATGTACCAATAAAACATAACAGTGTGAGAGGCCAGGTGCAGTGGCTTATGCCTCTAATCCCAGCACTTTGGGGAGCCGAGGGAGGCGGCTCACCTGAGGTCAGGAGTTCGGGACCAGCCTGGCCAGCATGGTGAAACTCTGTCTCTGCTAAAAATATAAAAATTAGCCGGGCGTGGTGGCAGGCGCCTGTAATCCCAGCTACGTGGTAGGCTAAGGCAGGAAAAGCACTTGAACCCAGGAGGCGAAGACTGCAGTGAGCCTAGACCATGCCACTGCACTCCAGCCTGGGTGACAACAATGAGACTCTGCCAAAAGAAAAGAAAAAACCCCACAGAATGAGAGAATTTGTTAAACTCTTGCCAATATATGTTAAAACTGCACTTACCAAAACAAAGTGACAGATGTACTAAAATCTCAGACTTCACCACTAGGCAATTCATCCGTGTAACTATAAACCACTTGTACCCCCAAAGCTATTGAAATAAAAAAATTAACAAAATATAAATTAGAGTTAAACTAGGACCATGCATATGTATTTTTTCATAAGTAGACAAAGCAGTCCCAGAACTGAGCTGACTTTCATAGCTAGACTTCAACATTATTACAAGCTGGTCTGTCACTCAGAATCAAGCCATTTTGTTCTTCTGTTGGACATAATCTCACAGACTATATCATATGAAGTCACTCTAAAACTTTATGATAAAGTGACACAAAAACAAGGTCACTGTGCAATCCACAATACCAAACATCCCCCTCTTGCACTAAGTGAGTGACCGTCATTTCTTTACCACCATAGCTTTTTCCTCAATCTAGTCCGCCCTTCCTATAAGATTTGTAGAGATATCCATTCATAGGATTGTCCTGCCTTCTGACAGCATCCAAGACAGAGTAAGCCCCCATTTCCTTAGATCCTCCCTAATATTACCCAGCCAGAGCCCAGATTCCATGATAGGTTTTAATATCCTCTTACTAAGACATCACATGGTATCTTATAAGGTGTGTTCTTCCTCACTGCAACAAGTAATAAACCCAACTTGTTCAACTACATGTGTGTTCCCAGTGGTCTTTGGCTAAAGGGAATTTAGATACACATATCCATATTCATTCTCCTTTCTCTGCCTTCTAAGTTCTTTGGCCATAAAAGATTTAGGGGAAATCATTTTTGCAAATCCTGATCATGAGTACTATATACAAAGAGGATTTTGGTTTCTGTATAGAAAGAGGATAAATAAAAGCGTAAGGTGGTTATACAACTTAACTGTTTTCAGACATGGTAATGGAATAGAAAGTGTTCCTTCAGTATCCTGTAAGACTCTTTCCAGAGGCACAGCTATGGCTTTTTACCTTTGATGTCCATTCAAAGACACTTTGCATTACTGCATATTTAGTAGGTTGAGTCAGTGTTTACAATTACGTAATACAACTTGGTTGGGTGTATGTTTAGAAGGCCATTAACTTTCATCCTTATTCAACCAAATGAACTGCCTCTTATTCGAGAAGAAAGAGGTCATTAAAAGCTAGGTACTTCCG